GAGAGAGAGAGAGAGAGAGAGAGAGAGAGAGAGAGAGAGAGAGAGAGAGAGAGAGAGAGAGAGAGAGAGAGAGAGAGAGAGAGAGAGACAACCACATATCGGCCAACTTCTTATATAACTTCAGCATTACATACACCGAATGTAGCAACAACATGAAATTCTTAAACCCGTCTCATGCTATTCATACAGAAATAGCATAATCTGATACACAAACTGCTGTTTTTTTTCTCGATCGACACAATCTATATATAATTTGTGCAATCCACGCTTCCATTTCCATGTCACACACACACACACACACACACACACACACACACACACACACACACATCTTCCGTCGAGTGTGAATGCAGGCAAACACCCACGTACACACACGCACTATACGTTGAACTGTGCTTTCTTCTCCCTGACTCTTTTTGAACGTCGCATTGTACATTCCTCTTTTTCCTTGCCTGCTTTTCTTTCTCTACCGCATATTCCCTCACTCGCTTCGCTCAAATCATGCTCTCTTTCTTAAGACTCCTCTCCCGACTCTTTCACTTCTTCCTTGTCAGATGTTTCTTCGTTCTCACCTGACTGGTCCACCAACTTGATCACACTCTGACTCTTGTCCGCCTCCTCTTCATTCTCATTTTCCTCCCCCCTCTCCCTGTTTGCCGTGCTTGGAACCTTTTCATGCTCTTCCACACTGACACCCTCCACATCAGCTCTCTTTTCTCCCATTCTTGACTCCGAAACTATTTGCGTTCCTGGACCAGTGCATTCCATAGACACTGGTCCTTTCCCCCCTTCTTTCTCATCTGCACTTTGCTCCCTGGTGGCTTCGTCGGTGGCTTGCGCCTGTGTAGTGGTGACATTCGTATGTTGTGTTTCATGCGACTGCTTTGAATGCGAATCGACATTCCCTACCACCGCCTTCACTCCCTCATGTGCCTGGAAATTTGGCCCTTCTTCGTCTGATGCTTTTTGTTGCTGATCTCCTTCAATCTTGTCGTCCTTCGCGACGTCGTTATGCACGTGTGCAACAACTTCCCTACCTGTTGTTGGTGTTGTCTCACTTCTGGCTCCTACTGCACTGATGCCTTCTGACGGTCTAAGTGTTGGTTGAGGTGTGCTCCGAATCGATGGCCGCTCGGCGAACTCATCTCCCTTTGTGTTTTGCATCCTAATATGCCCTTCCTTCTCTACCACACTCTCGCCACCACCTCCTGTTGCTGCTAAATCGATCTTCTTCCTTGTACCCGTGTGTCCCTCAATGCCTTGACTGCATCCCACAAGTATGTCGCTCTCGTACATACAGTCCATTGCACGATAGTCTACAGACCATATGACAGCTTCATACAACGGACTCGATTTCTTGTCGTAGAACGCAGCGCAATACTCGAGAAGATGATTTTCACGCACGAATTCGGGCTGGTGTCAACTGTGAGGAAAGCAGGCCCAGTACCGACGGATTGAAGGGTTGTGTCTGGTACCAACAAGAAAAAGGGCTTGGCCCGGCACGAAATGAAAAAACTGTCAGGCCCGAAACGTGGCCTGCACCGCCCACCGTTTTTGGGTTAACGTGCAGGCCCGGCCTTTTTCTTAAATCACCATGTCGTGCATGGCCACGGTTTTTGGGTCCACGCGGGGCTGGATGGGGAAAAAAAAAACACCCTAACCCCTGCCGGCGTCTTCGTTTCGCATCCCCACGAAAACGTGAGCCCGACGGAGCGCTATTCTGCCAAACGTGCGTCATTGCAAGGTGCGAGTGTGCCACTGCGAGCTGCGCGTACGCCATTGTGATCCGCGTGTGTGCCATTGTGAGTTGCGCGTGACGGTGCCTTCGAGCAGCTCTGTGCCTTCTCCGGGCGCGCGGTGCCTTCAAGCAGCTCTGCGCCTTCTCGGGGCGCCTTTGCACGGTGCCGTCGAGCAACCGAGCTTCTTCTTCTACCACGGTGCCTTTCAGCACCCTCGTTAACTGGAAGGAGACTAGCTGCGAACCTCATCACTCGGTTAGGGGCCTTCGTCTGGCAGTAGTCCACCCAGCCTCTGCATTTCCTTTGAGAAGGTGAGGTTTCTTTAACTACCACTTTTGCGCCCCTCAAGGCTTCGGTCCTATAGCATGCGTGTCCACTACGTAGGACTTGTTGAATAACCATCCATCCCTCCCGCACTTTTACGCCCCTCAAGGCCCTCCCTCCTTTCCTTAAAGCCCTCCCTCCCTCCCGCGCTTTTACGCAGATCTACTCACTTTTACATCTGTGACGGCCGTCCCTCCTTCCCTCCAGGCCTCCGTCTTACAACACGCATTCAGTGCAAGGCCCTCCCTCCCTCCTCACATGCTTTTTTGTAGTTCGAAAGGTTTTTTATTTTTTGGGAAAGGTCTTTTGTTTTTTAAATACGTCAGTGTTTTTTATGTTATTGTTCGACACTTCGATTTTTTTGGGAAAAAGGCGGGGTGACCGTTTGTTTCCATGGCATTACGAAGCTTTCGCAGTTCCACATCCGCGTTGTTTTCCATTCGTCGAAAGGAAATGTTTCGTTCTCGAAGGGGTGCTGTGTATCTACATTTCGTCGTTCCACGTCCACATTTGCTTTCCCTTCGTTCCAAGGGGAACCGTGCAATGGTGTGGCCCGGCGTCCCAAAGGCGTCAGGCATGACCTAATGGCATGTGCACGGCGTTTCGGAACGGCGGACGACGGACCATGCGATGGCATGTTTCGTCGCCACCGGGACGCCGGACCATGCCATGGCATGGTCCGGCGGCTCCGGGACTCCGGACCATGCCATGGTATGGTCCGGCCCCTCGACGACGCCAGACCATAGAGTGGCATTGTCCGGCGGCTCCAGGACTCCGGACCATGCCGTGGTATGGTCCGGCGCCTCCACGACGCCAGACCATAGCATGGCATGGTCCGGCGGCTCCAGGACGGCGGACCATGCCATGCTATGGTTCGGCGTCTTCGACACCAAACGATGCCATGCTTTGGTTCGGCGGCACCAGGACTCCGGATCATGCCATGGCATGGTCCGGCGTCTCCGCGACGCCAGGCCATGTCATGGCAAGGTCCAGCGGCTCCGGGAAACGGGACCCTGCCATGGCATGGTCCGGAGTCCCGGAGCCGCCGAAACATGGCAGGCCATGGTCCGGCGTTCCGGCGGCGGCGGACCATGCCGCGACATGGTCCGGGGCCCCGGAGCCACCCGACCCTGCCGGGGAATGGTCCGGCGCCACGTGCCATTCCGTGTTGGGGTCATCGCATCGCGATGCGCGGGCGGAAGGGTCGTGCCAATGCAATGTAAGGTCAGGATGTTGGGACGTTCAATTGCACAGAAGTGTCCATGATGAAAGACCATGCGATAGAATGTTGGGACCCGCGCTGCAGGACCCGGGATGGAAGAACATGCGATAGAATGCTGGGGCGTTCAATGGAGGACCGTGTCAGTGCATGGCATCGCTAGGGCTGAAGGACCGTGCCATGGCATGCTATGGTCCGGCGTCCGCTGTGTTACGAAGGAGGATGCACGACCTTGACAGTGCATGGCTCGTTGCACAGCAGGACCCGGCTCAATGCAGAACCATCTTGGACCATTGCACGGTAGGACCCGCCTCAATGCAGGACCATTGCACGGTAGGACCCACCTCAATGCAGGACCATGCTGGACCATTGCACGGTAGGACCATGTCTCGACGTCTGCATTCACGAGAGAGTTGGGCCATGCCGCGACATGGTCCGGGGTCCGGGGTCCCGGAGCCACCAGACCATACTGGGGAATGCTCGACGAGAGAGTTGGGCGACCCGACTGTGGCGGACGGGCGCAATGGCGTAACATAATTCCTACGTTCCTCGCAAACATGCTTACATCAGTGTATGTGTTGTATACAGAAGCTGCTTCACATGATCCTTCACGTGATAGGATGGATACCGACGACATCAAGCGCCATCGACGATTGGACGAGAACACGAAATTGAGGATTGTCGAGGCACTTCGAGTTGGTCCATGGTTGAGAGTGCTGCCATGGCGAGGACGAGTTGGGAACTGGAGCGAGAGCGATTGCAATGATAGAATGTTCATGGGCGCACGACTTCAGATTGGCTAACGAGATGGAATGGGGACGACGCATCGAAATATGTCCTGCCTCCCTCCAGACAGCGTATATACCGAACTACACGAACATTTACTAGATGTACGACCACCAGGATACTTATGACCCTCTTGTATCTATTAAAAGGCAAGAGTCGGACAACGAGTGTTACGAGGAGGACGAAGCAATCTCATGCAAGTTCGTAACAACATCACCTCGCACATGGCCGAAGCGGTTCGGAGTCGAGTTGCAAAGGTGTAGAAGATTGTGCAACAGAATCATAACTTTTCCCGTGCGGAACGAAGCGGGGACAACCAGTCAGCGCATATCTTATTGCTCTGTGAGAATTTTCTTAAACAATGTTGATTTATGTAAAGTAAATTGTGTAGCATGCACAGACAAGGGTGAGAGATTAATAGAGGCAAGATGCGAAGCAATGTGGATTGAGGAGGAATGCGACAATTCAATATTTAATGTGAAAGAGTCGATGGACGAAGTAGAGGATAAGATATGCACCATAAGAAATGCTATCGGCATCGCTCTCACTGGTACACACACTTTCGTGAAGATGTCATATATATCGTCAGGCGATAGGGACGACGATGACAAACCTGAGGGTTTGAAAACGCTCACATTCGTCTCACCCCTGCACGGTTTGTATAATTATGAAGGCAAACGTGTTCCACGCATTGTTTGAGAATAACAAATTTTCATGTTATAGATGGTCAGATGGTTTGGCATAGATAGGCATATATCATCAGTGGGAGCTGAGAATGGAGAAAATGTCCTTTGACTATGGAAAAAAATGACGGTTAGAGTATGGCGGACACATCGGGCGGAGATGTCTGTCGTGGTCATTGTACAATACATGTACACAAACGTATGTAGGGATATTCGTCAGACTTAATGTATGACATTAGGAATTGTGAAATGTATTTCGACAAGCGACGGAGGTGACACATTGAACGTCCGTTTGTTTTGTTCATGCGTGTGTGATGTGTAGGGTGCATAATGTCGTCAATAATGTCGATAAGCATCAGTGGGAGTCTCGAGAGGCACATACGTTTAGCAAAATCGTTTCCTCCTTGTGCGAAATTGGTACGCCATTATAACGGTCACATGTGGCTCCGCGAAGCAACCACAGAGGACTTCGAAGAGGACCCGTGGATGATCGTTGTCCTGTACACAACCGCACATCTCGACGAATGGAACGATAGTATTTGGAACGCAATGGAGATTGCATGCCCTTGGGCAAGCCATTACAAGTTTGTCAATATCTTGGAGTTCGGGGGCCTCATTCCAATGCCTGATGGTGTCCTGAAGCCCAAGTTCCTCACCCGTGTGCGTGAATCATTCCGCTTCGCTAGTTGTGTGAGCAGTCGCCTCGACTGCGAGTACATCACTTCTTCACCACGAACTTGGGGAAGTTCGTAGAAACAAGAGTTGGTGGATTGCACTCGCCATTGTTCATTCTTGGAACAGTACCCACTCCGTTGCCCAGGGATTTTTCCTCAAGCTGTGTCATACTGTTGTGTATGGTTGACTATTACCGGATGTGCTGTCGCCAGAGTGCTATTTGTGGCTTGTTCAAACAAAAGTAGGAAACTTGTTGATGCAGTTGTGCGTGTATCATGGAACAAGTTATATGTGGACAGGTCCAAGTTTATGTCTGTGTTGTATCGCCGCGGTCCAAATGGTCGGTCAGATATAGTGATAGCAGGTCAGGTCGAAGATTATTCATTGTGGCAGGTGGAAGAGAAACTGTCCGACATACAAGACGGTGTAGGAAATTCATTAGCACGGCCAGGAGGATTTGTTAGGATGTAATACATGTCTGTATTTTTAGAGAATGCAACAGTCGAGCAACCCCAGATCCACGTATATGAATCATCTATGAATGTCATGTATGGCTTCGGTTCACGACCTCATCTGCGGAATAGACCGTATCTCACCATATCCACACCGCAATTGTCAACGAAAACGGCGAATATTTGGGCCCCCGTTAACCGTCTCTCCAGATTCGGACGGGTTATCAAACCTTGTGCTTAAGGGATAAGCATAGAGCGAAGAGCGTAAGTTGCCTAGCTGACCGATACATCGAAAGGATATACACAACAATCGATGCGCTGTCATCGCTGGCACGGCTTTATAAAGTGAGAACAATGGACTATTGTGAGGGGAAGAAAGCAGTGATAAGGAAGGAGACAGTGCAAGTGGTCCAGGATGGTTCTGCATTGAGCCGGGTCCTACCGTGCAATTGAACGCCCCAGCATCCTGACCTTACGTTGCATTGGTACAGCCCCTTCTTGCCGTAGGGACGGGAGGATTCGTTCGCGGCAACGGGAGGGTTCGTTGACAGGGACGAGAGGGTTGCATTCGGCTCATTGATGAACGAGTTGTATGGCTTTGGCTACTCGCGGGGTCCCACTTTGCAGTAGTGTTGACTTGAATCCTGGAACATTGTCAAACAGTTCCATAGTCAAATTGTTTTCAACCATGGCGGGAAGCATGTGGTGTCGGGGTACAGGACATACATTTTGCAGTGTGTACTACGTAGGTGGGTCCGTGTGGTATGCCCCAGTACCTGTCTATTGCAACATATCGGGAAAGTCCTCACGATGCTTATTAAAACTAGCAAAAATGTAACAACATATCGGGAAAGTCCTCACGATGCTTATTAAAACTAGCAAAAATAAAAAAATGTATATTTCATAGTTTCTGTCGGAGCATCCAATGGTCAGCCGCCTCACGGGTTCCGGACCATGGGATGGTCCGACGCCTCGGGGGGCTCCGGACTATGGGAGCCACGGAGGCGCCGTGGAGCAAGAATCCATGGGATGGTCGGGCACCTCGGGGAAGCCGGAGCATCCAATGGTCCGGTGTCCCCAGGGGCTCCCCACCACGTGGATGGTACGGCGCCTCGGGGAAGTCGGAGCATCCAATGGTCAGGTGTCCCCAGGGGCTCCCCACCACGGGGATGGTACAGCGCCTCGGGGAAGCCGGAGCATCCAATGGTCCGACGTTCCCAGGGACTCCCCACCACGGCATCCCCCGGATCGTACGGTGCCTCGGCCCTCAGTGGCTCCGGAACAGGAAAAAGTCCGGCGCCCACGAGTTGGCCCGCCGCGATGGGAACGACCGAAACATCCAATGGTCCGGCGCCTCGGGGGCTCCAGTTCATCGGATGGTCCGGCGCCCCGGGGACGCCTAAACATCCAATGGTTTGGCACCTCGGGGGCTTCATACCATAGGATGGCCCGGCCCCCAGGGGACACCAAAACATCCAATGGTCCGCCGCCTCTTGGGCTCCAGGCCACAGCGTCCCCAGGATGGTACGGCGCCTCGGTGGCTCCAGAACAGGGAAGAGTCCGGACCATGAGTTGGCCCGGCGCGACGGGGACGACCTGAACATCCAATGGTCCGGTGCCTCGGGGGCTCCAGACCATGGGATGGTTCGGCGCCCCAGGGATGCCGGAGCATACCATGGTCCAGCGCCTCGGGCGCTCCAGACCATGGGACGGTCCGCCGCCCCGAGGACGCCGGACCATCCAATGGTCTGGCGCCTCGGGGACGCCAGACCATACCATGGGATGGTCCGGTGCCCCGGGGACGCCAGACCATACAATGGTCCGGCGCCTCGGGGGTTCCAGACCATGGGATGGTGCGGCGCCCCGGGGACAACGGAACATCCAATGGTCCGGCGCCTCAGGGGCTCCATGCAATGGGATGGTCCGGCGCCCCGGGGACGCCGGACCATGCCATGGTCAGGCGCCTCGGGGACTCCAGACCATGGGATGGTGCGGTGCCTCGGGGACACCGAGACATCAAATGGTCCAGCGCCTCGGGGGTTCCAGGCCACAGCGTCCCCAGGATGGTACGACGCCCCGGGGACGCCGAAACATCCAATGGTTGAGCGCCTGGGGGGCTCCAGGCCATGGGATGGTCCGGCGCCCCGAGGACGACGAACCACACCATGGTCCGGCACCTCGGGGACGAGAGGCCGACCATCGAAGGTCGGGAAACCCGCATCGCTGCCTGCGGCTCGTATGGTTTTCCGCTCTCAACCTTTATTATTCCTAGTGGCGAGCCAGGGAGCGAGAAGAGTTGCAACGACCAGTTGCAACACCGACATCCTCTGCCCCCCCTGCCAAGTGTACTGGTGCGTTCAACTCGGCATACCGTAAGACCTTGGTGGCGTGATCAGGATCAGTTTCTTTTTTTGTGGTCGGCGTGTTCGAAGGTCCCCGCGATAGTGGAATTTTCCGTTAACACTGTTTTTGAATGCTTTGCAGAAACCATGCACACGTCGAACGTCAACAGTGAGAAGGGGAGCTGCCCACATCCGTCAGAGTCATCTACTGCATACCGAGGAACTCCATCAACGCAACAACCCCTCTCCACTGAGTCTCCAACTCTGAGAGCATGTCCCCTCCATTCGGGAAGCTTTGCCGAAACAGTAACTCCTCGCCACGTTCAATTCATGCTCCTAAGAAGAGAAAAAATAGTTCTTCAATATGAGAATCACCCATCCCATACTGTAGTCTGAAGGTTGAGACTGGAGGATTTAATCAAGGCAGTCAAGCATGGCGGATCCGCTCCTCCTCCATGTCAGGCATCAATAAAGTGTTTGCCGCCTCCAGACATCCGTTGTGAGGAAGACTCATCAGTTCGCTGCAATTCGGAAGAGGACAACGGTGGAAACGACGCATCTTTTCCACCGGATGAACCTTCCGATGAGAGCGACGACCACACGACACAACAATGTGCCAGTGAGCCACCATCCTTTATGACGGAGTTGGGGTCGGGCACGGGGAAGAGTAAATACACGTACGTGAAGCGAAAGTGAAGAAGTGAGATGTCAGATGCAGATTTGCTGAAGAAATGCACTATGGAAGAATGCAAAGCCGTGCTGAAGAAGACGTGCTGCAAAAAAATGCAGTGTTGTTATAGAATGACAACGGAAGACGTGTATAAGGCGAAAATGAAGTATAAATCGTTGAGCGCCGAAGAAATGAGGAAGTGGTGGATGAGACAACTAGACAATTTTACTTGCATCATCGAAGATGAAAAGAAAGTAGTCAAACCTGTTGTGGAAAAACACAGGGTTTGTATTCAGGCATGGTGCTACATAAACGGCTTCTCCAGAAACACGTACGCGTTCTACCATGATTTGCATGAGAACGGTACACTGTTGCCGATTCATGGAAGAAAATGTCACCCCACCACATCAGCAGCTCATGCAATGACGATGCAATGTCTGACCAGACAGACGTGAACAACGACTACAAAGTTAGGCCGCGCATCAGATTGCCTCCAACGTACGCTACCAAAACAGACGTGTATGAAAACATAAAAAAACGGTTGCAGAAACAGGACATAAACTGCTGCTCTTCGCAAGTATTCGAAAAAATGTGGCGTGGTTTCTTCTGGCATGTTCACCTGGCAAGGTCAACCGACTATGCTAGATGCAATTACTGCACAAAACAAACAGACTTTATCGATCGTCAGACGAGGTCTCGTTGCAAAACTCAATTACCATAGGTTATTGCAGAAAGCACATCACGAATTATATCAAATATGGTCGGCAGAGTCTAAGTTAATGAGGAACAAAAACTTGTGCATTATAATTAATGGGATGGACTAAGCAAAAACGGCGATTCCTCACACTACTCGCAACTAGACATCAAAAGCGATGGACAATCGCACAATGATGAAAACAAACCTCACCGGTATTCTGGCACATGGGAAAAACCCGCACATTATCGTTCACACATGGTTTCCTATTTTCTCACACGGCGCTGACTCGATCGTGTCATTGGTCGCAAAGGTGTTAAGAGACATACAAAGACAACTAGGAGGGTTGTCTCCAGTTCTCAGACTCCAAGCTGATAATTGTGGGGGTCAGGATAAGAACAAATATATATTTGCGTTTCTGGCACTGTTGGTGAAATTTCGTATTTTTGAAATAGTGGAAATGAGATTTATGATAGTGGGTCACACACATACTGACACCGATGTGAAGTTTAGCTTGTTCCCTAAGAAGCTAGCAGGTTCGGACGCCTACACGATGGAAGAATTATTCGTTGCACTTAGAAATTCTACGAAGGAACAGGTAGACTGCACATTTGTAAATGAGATGGCTGATTGGAAAAATATTGTGAGAGGTTTTTTGGACAAACGTATTGGTGGACATTCCACCCCGCACCTCTTCAGGTTCTATATGGACAGTGACAACCCTGCAATGGTGTACAAAGAGTATTGCACCAGTAATGAGTGGTTGCCTGAAGGCAAACCCATTTACTGGTTCAAAAGAGGTGAGCAGGGGAGATGGGTGGCGCCTTCCATGCCATTTGAACCACGTAGCCTAAATGTTACATTGGAAAGTGGGGAGTTCGTCAAAGACTTGCAAGATGTAGGTGCCCTCGTGGATGAATGGAAGGAGGAGCGACCGGAATGGGAGACACAAGAATAGTGGAAACAAGAGTTGGAAGAAAGTTGGCTACAGTATTAGGAATGTCAATTACAAATATTCAAAAACATGGAACAATGCAAACATGATGAGTCTGTCGCATTGTCGACCCCATTCTGGTCATCGTCGATGTCAGACACCGCCGAAAATACGAGATTGATTCCAACTGTAGAATTCCCACCAAGGAAACCTTGCTTCGTAAGGTTTAAGAGCAATGCCCCCAAACCAGAATTTGACCCGGCCAAAGACGTCGATGTGGGCTATTTTGTTGTGTTACGGGCACCGAACGAGAACACCGAAATATAAGTGACTTTTTAGATAGGGTGTATGATTGAAAAATTAAAAGAGTCGAATCGGATTTTTGTTCAGTATTGGAGGTCACAATGCAAAGATACCAATGTGTCCAAGTTATACGAAAACGCTTGGAACAAAAGTTGGCGAGTCGAGAAAGAGTCGTTATCTGAGTGGCAAAACATTACCAGTGTAGCATGGGGATGGAAGAGCGAAAAAATATATGAAACCGGTCTCAGAATCCGGGAGAGTGATGCATTTAAGGCAATGAAATCATTGGCGGCAGTTCACCAGGCACATTCTAATGCGACAGTGAATGTTTTTTTGATGTAACATTCGAACATGAAGTAAGCATCAGTCATCATCGATACAAATGTTGTCGTCTCGTAATTTGCTGGTTTTGTAGGGGCAATCGAATGACGGACGTAGCTAACTTTCATTCGTGTTATATTATCTCCACAGCAACCACAAAATCGGATACTTCGAGTATAGACGCCGAGGTCAACATGCGTCATCATATTGACAAATGGGGAACACCCATACATTACACGCAACTTATTTCATTTCGGCACATGCAACGAATGACAGCGGTTGGGCTCCGCACGCTTGACGAAACGATGATATACCCCACTTTTGACTTATAGCCTCCACAAATGCAACTCAAGATGTTGAAGATGGCTAAAACATGCGACCCGTTGTCAAAATATTGTAGAACCGGGACATAGTGATGGAAAAATGTTTTTTACAGAGGCGATTGGATATTTGACAATGAAACACGAGAGTGTGGTCAAATACTATGCATTGCATTTGAAGCACGACATGGAATGACATATTGTTGCACAAGGATCGGTCGTCGCAATCCTCATCAAAACGATGATGTAGATGATATGGCATATGTCGTATCTCGGCACGCCCAACTTTTCTGTAGCGTTGTTAGAGATGCCATGATACAGTTTGTGCGAGATAAAACATCCGTCATTGGGACAATTGTTGTGAAGGTGCTTCAAACGTTCGACGATTATGAAGCAACAAAATACATCAAGAAAACGAAGACAAAAACAATTATAGACGTGAAGCACTTGTTTCGACGTATGAATGGGATTCGCCGACATGTGTCGTGTAGGGTGACGATTGATGTTATACCTAATGTGGGGCACAGTAGGCTGAAATTATGTGAAATAGGATTGGATAATGAAGGGAAAAAATGTGAAGTTACCAAGCGGCAGCTTCAAACCCGAAATGATGTCTTCGAGTAAAAATAACCCATGTACTGACGAACACAACAGATAATAAGAAAAATGGTTCCTACGATGACGTGATGGTTATGGAATCCAGTAGCGAAAAAAAATGTAGAGTCATATATCCCATCAGAAATGGTAAAAGGAGCTTCTACATATTTCATTCCTTGAAATGCAGTAAAAACTAAAGCTAGAAGAATAGTGGTTAATGCCATAAAGGGTTTTCTCTCTCTCACACACACACACACACACACACACACACACACACACACACACACACACACAC